AAAGTGTCTTACTTGTAGGCAAGATTTGTCAACATTCCGATATTACATTTTATAAAAGATTTGAACGAAAAAAAAATTGTATTTAGGGGTTGTTCAATTTATATTTTAAACTGAGAGACTGTATCGAGTTCTAAGAGTAAGACTTAATGCAGATGTTACATATCTGTGTTTAATGATTTTACGTATGGCAATGAAAGCGCATTGCTAAATCCAATTTTAATACTTAAATACAATTTTTTATATAAATATCGATATGTATTTAACAACTGAGCTATAAAACGATAACAGCTTTTTTAATTTAAACTGACCGTTAGTTTGACCTACATCCGTCGTCAACTCGGATCCACTTTCATGACCGGCCTGACTCCACCCTTAAACTGTTCTTCCTTAAGTGCTTTTCTGTGTGCCCAGGGTCAAGCTTACGAAAAATGCATCTCGCCATTCACATCCACGTCGGAATACGCCAGTCCACAAAATATCAGACCCCACAAAAGTATATTGATTTTTTTCCATGCTGAATAATCAATATTCTGCACTCTAATTAAAATTATGAGTAAAAGACGAATATGAATTACGCTCGTTTTATTAATGAGCCTAATAAAACTCTGCAAAAAGTCTTTACTTTTAAAGGCAAAGTCCAGCTATATTTTGCCATGGAGGAAAGATTTAATCATAGATAAATGTAAGGTTAATCTTTCAAGCAGGGATTATGGGGCATGGTCAGTAATGGTCCGGTAAAAAACATACATGTCTGTCATACAATAATAAACAGTTATGACATACACGTCTTGCATGCAACAATATATGGGTCACACATTGATGTCTGGTGTGCGACAAGATATTGGTCTGACATTGGTGTCTGGCATACAATAAGATATCGGCATATCTAGTTATGGGGTGGTCGTTATATTATTTCTCCATGGCGACTATTGTCTGGTGTGGCTGGAGGCAACGAAAAGGTTTTTGCTTTTTTTTTTTTAAAAAGAGTGAAAATATAACAACAAATCACACGGCTAAATTAAACAACTCTGTTCCGTGCGATTACTCAACAGTGATTTAACTATTGTCAGTCGATATTTGTAGATCAATAATTGGAGATTGGGGCATAACCCAGTCTAACGTGCAGGTCCACGTGACCAAGTACCAGGAGGTAAAAATAAAGGATTACATATTTTTACCCCACAAGCCATGGGCACAGTATCGTTCAACTAGAAACATATATATATATGTATGTATTATAAGCATCATATCGCACATATTTTGTTACTTGTATAGAAATTCATAAAAGACCCATTCATATAACATATAGCCAATGGATTGAACGAGACGTAAGAATCGCCTGATTTGCATAATATCAATGATTGGGTTTTATGAAGAAAAAAATCTTTGTTCTGTTCTGTGAAGACATGCAAATTTATAAGCTCTAATTCCACGTCGTTGGCAATTGTAGTTTTATTGTATGTCACACGGTTAGAGTTTGTGTTGTTAAGTTAGGGTTGTTAAGTAAGGGTTACGTTTGTGAAGTTAGAGTTAAGGCTGTTAGTTAGGGTTACGGTTGTTAATTTAGGGTTGGGGTTGTTAAGTTAGGGTTGTTAATGTAGGTTTACGGTGGTAAGTTAGGGTTGTCAATTTAGGGTTGGGGTTGTTAATTTAGAGTTTGTGTTGTAAAGTTAGGGTCGTTAAGTTAGGATTAGGATTGAGAAGTTAGGGTTAGGGTTGTTAAGTTAGGGTTGTTAAGTTAGGGTTGTTAAGTTACGATTAGGGTTGTTAAGTTATAGTTGTTAAGTTAGGATTAGGGCTGTTAAGTTAGGGTTGTTAATGTAGGTTTACGGTGGTAAGTTGGGGTTGTTAAGTTGTGATTATAATAAGGAAGAATGCCAAAATGTTATATTTCTGTAATCTAATGCATTTTTCATCGAATATAAAATTCAATAAACAACATAAGACTCCAGCTGATTAGTTCAACGTAGACACAAAGAATGCAAACCTGCCACTGAGAACTTGAAGAATGAAGCGATAGATAACTCCATATTTGTTCGTGTGTAACCGGACACAGTTAGGCTTGTAATATTAGGTATTGAATAGGACAGCTCCATTCAATCCCGACTGACACTCAAGTCAGTGTAGTCTATACTTTAGTCAATGTAGTCTATACTTTAGTCAATGTAGTCTATACTTTAGCCAGTGTAGTCTATACTTAAGTCACTGTAGTCTATACTTTAGCCAGTGTATTCTATACTCTAGTCAGTGTAGTGTATACAATATCTTTGACACAAACAATACCTATATCTATTGCACAGAAAGTACCTTGTAGATACCGGAAGATATAATCAAGCGCAGCACTCTAACGGGAACTATGGGTTATGCTTTTACTTGAGAGTCATCTCTTTGTTTTGTTTTGTTGGCCACATCGCTCTAAACTGAAAGTCTTATTATATTCTGGCGGAAATTAATTCAATTGATCATAAATCCGCCCCCCTCCCCCCCCTCCGTTTACCAACACAACATGGTAACAAAAGCTGGAATGAAGCTGAAGCTATTGGGCACATTTTTATAATTTGTACGATTTTGATTGCAAGCTGGCCTAATTTAAAAGCATATATCATATTTTGTATCCTCGTTACTATGGTCAGCGGGCCATTAAATAAATTAAAGCTGTAAGCATTATGTCCGGGCCTGCGTCCAAAAAAGTCCAAAGACTCTTGGTCGTTAAAATTTTTCTATCAGCATAGTTTAACAATCTATTCGACTTTTGCAGTTTATCGTGCAATCGCAAAACATAAGGCTTGTTTGTAGCTCTACCAGACATCTGTGCTTAGAATGCCAATGATCTGTAATTATTTTAATATAAACGTATGGATGGTTCCTCACATATTTTTAGGTTGTTCAACAACCTGGTTTATTTATTTTTGGTGTTTAAGTGTGGGCCTGTACAAAAAAGAGTGTGTGTGTGGGAGTTAATGCATTAAAAGTTCATCTTAAAACATTTGACTGCACAATTTGAGTGTATTGCAAACACGTGTCTCTTATTTCAATGATTTTATTTAAGCGTGATCGTTTCAATTAAGTGTCAACTCTATTCTTCAATGCTTATTAAAAATCAATAACACCCTCCACGCCATGCTATGTTTCAGAAGCCTAATGGAACAGGCGCACCCGTTGATATAATTAGCCTGATTGTTTCGTGACTAGCGAACCAAAGACCAAATGGCCGACATTTTGGAAGGGGTAGCCCCCATTTCGGACACAGAGACACTCGAACCCCATACGGGCGCGTCACGTGATTCGCGTGACAATATCTCTGCAAGAGACGCCACGACAAAAGACCGCGTCGAACAAATCAGTGGCAGCGAGAACAAAACCGGCGACGAATCAATTGAAGGGACGACTGGCGTGCACACGTACGTACACGAGCAGAGAGAAATAAACCAGCCAGACGACCGTGTACAGGATATCAAGGGACGGGGCGAGTCAGACGGTGGCGACGAAGTTAACAATGACCACATCGTAAGCAACAACGAGATTAACAGGGACGAACCCCATGCGGCTCCACAAAATGGAAGTGATGTGAGTGCCGAACATTCAAATATTTATACTTTTGGTCAGAATATAACACACAACATCGTAGATGACCCGGAAGTTCATGGTCACAACTTAGACTACGGTGATCCAAGTTTTGTTCAACAGGAGCCAGAAGGCGATTCGACTTCCGAGAAATTTAATGAAAACAATCCTTCCGCGGATAATACTGTGAACAGCGGAAATTTTCAAGAACTGGGAAATATTTCAGAGGAGGACCGTAAAAGCATTGTGGGTGGAAATAACGACAGGGTAGATATCAGCGAGTTTACCATCTCCGAAAACGTGCATCATACCAAAAGTTCGGATTCATGGAATTCCGATAATAAATGTGTCGAATCTCTTACGGAAACCAATTCTGGGGAATCCAACATCACTAGAGTGTCACCGGAAAACTACGGTGAGATTCAAGAAGATAACGGCAAGACCCAAAGTTCTGTTCACGGTGATGGACATTTTAGAACATCTTTAACGCGTTCGGATTCGAGACTTCGAGAAAGGCCCAAAAGCGTCCGCTTTGACAAAGGTTTTGGGAGCGATATTTCTTCGGTGGCAGAGAGTAGCGCAAGTTCAGGCGTTAAATGTGTTGACGGTGATGAAATTCTTATCAGTGAAGACTTAACACTGAATAGAAATTCCGTAAATGGACACCAGGTCAATGAAATTGAAGAAAACCTGATAACTAAAGAAGCTGTGAATAATTTTGATGAGTCAGAAAACGCAAAAAGTGATGAATATGACCAAAGAGAACCCACCATCGGCCATGTCAATGAAGGTGAAATACTTGAAAATGATCAGATAGATAATAGTCATAAAGATAATGTCTTTAATGTGACTGTTCCAAAGAGCCCTTCAAGTAGCATACGATCTGAAGCCAAAAGTCCTTCACATAGTCTAAGATCAGAATCTAAAAGTCCAACACATAGCATAAGATCAGAGGCAAAAAGTCCTTCACATAGTCTAAGATCAGAGAATAAAAGTTCTTCACATAGTCTAGGATCAGAGTCTAAAAGTCTAACACACAGCATAAGATCAGAGGGCAAAAGTCCTTCACAAAGCCACAAATTAGATTCTAAAAGTCCTTCACATAGCCTAAAGTTAGAGGCTGAAAGTCTTTCACAGAGCCATAGCTCAATGGTCAAAAGTCCAGCACATAGCCTCAAGTCAGAGGCCAAAAGTCATTCTCATAATCTAAGATCAGAAACAAAAAGTCCTTCACATAGCCTAAAATCAGATGCCGAAAGTTCTTTACATAGCCTGAGATTAGAGGCAAAAAGTACTTCACAGAAGCATAGATCAGACGCTAAAAGTCCATCACATAGCCTAAGATCAGAGGCCAAAAGTCCTTCACATAGCCTAAGATCAGAGGCCAAAAGTCCTTCACAGAGTCATAGATCAGAAGCTAAAAGTCCATCATATAGCCTAAGATCAGAGGCCAAAATTCCTTCACATAGCGTAAGATCAGAGGCCAAAAGTCCTTCACAGATTCATAGATCAGAAGCTAAAAGTCCATCATATAGCCTAAGATCAGAGGCCAAAAGTCCTTCACATAGCGTAAGATCAGAGGCCAAAAGTCCAGCACATAACCTAAGAACTGAGGCCAAAAGTCCTTCCCAGAGCCATAGATCAGATGCCAAAAGTCCTTCACATAGCGTAAGATCAGAGATCAAAAGTCCTTCAAATGGCTTTCAATTAGAGGCTAATATACCTGCGCGAAGCCTAAAATCAGAGAACAAAAGCCCTTCACATAGCCTAAGATCAGAGGACAAAAGTCCTTCACATAGCCTAAGATCGATTGCTAAGAGCCCTTCGAAAAGGGAAATGTCAGCGAAGGAGAGCCCTACACATAATCTAAGATCAAAGGCCAAAGGTCCTACAAACAGATATCGGTCTGAAGTTAAAAGTCCTTCGCATAGCCTACGTTCTGAAACTAAGAGTTCTTCACCTAGCCTGCATTCTGAAGCTCAGAGCCTTTCACCTCGCTTACGTTCAAATTTCAATATGACAGAAACGATAAAAAGCTCCGACAAAGGTTCTGTCAATAGGGAGGAAAATTCTGAAAACTTTCTAATAGGTCCAAAGATCCATTCACCGGCCTCTAGTGACACACACATGGCTTTCGAGTTAAAGGACAGGCTAGACTTTGCTGAAAATAAAACCCCTGATTTTTTAACGCAACACGGAGCTGAAGTGTCAGACCAAACAAATGACGATCAAAAACCAGTTATTTTGAGTTCCACTTTCTACGGAGCTAAGTCTAAAACTAGAGGAAATAAAGATATAAGTTCACCAAACAATGACAGCAAAGAAAAGATTGAAAAAGAGCAATACAGGGAAAACGAAGATCGAAATGGCCATCATGGCGTATCACTAACAGGTGGTTTTGACAAGCCTACAACAGAAAAGCATAATTTTTATCCCGTGACTAAAAAAGTTGACAACCAAAACGATGATGACTCAACTGTTAGAAAAGTGAATGTGGCCAGTCCCGAAACGGCCCGTAATTTTAACAATGAAAATATGGACACTAGTTCAGTTCGAAATGTATCCCCTTCGGCATATGAAGAGGACTTTACTGAAGAAGAACCAGTTAGCTACCAGACATCTCCATCGAAGACTTCTCAGAAATCAGCGATTGAAAATAACTGGTCTGAACCCAATACCCGCGCAGAAAGCCCTCAGAGCTCCACCAGTGAACACGACAGGGCAGTAAGCACGAGGCCGAGAACAGAATTCACCAACCTTTACGACAGCGACCAAAACACCAGCGGTAATGAAGCCGGGGATTTTGATGATTTCATCCCAGCGAGCTCAGCGCCACCGGTAACAACTTTGAGGCAACCGGTAAATATGGCTGAAGAGAAAGCCGCGAGACCAAAATCAAGTCATCCGAGACAAAAAAAGAAGGGGCGAATTGTCAGAGATGTTGTTGTTTATAGAAACAGGAAGGACAGTTCTCAGAGTTCAACACACAAACATGGAGGTTTGGCGGATGAATCGTGGGAAGGAAGTGGTGCCACTAAGGAAGCGAGTTCGCCAGAGAGTAGGTCCGTGAACTCCAGTGACACCGAAGATCCGTATCCTTCGGACGAACACTTCAGCTATTCGGATGACCTTGAGTCGATCAGTATTCGTAGTGAGAGTGTGGCCAGCGGAAGCGAGGTGATCGGTGAAGTTTCCCATGCAAACACTTCAAGTTACGAGCAGGAAACTGATCTCAAGAGTCTCGCTTTGCGATACGAACAGTTAGAGCACCAAACCTCCGAGGACAGAGCTATTAAGACTCGCCAAGCTAACAGTGGCGTCAGTGACGCAGATCACGACCCGGGGAGTGATACTGAGGTCAAGGACGGACGAACAAGAAAAAGAAAGTCCCGCGAGTCAAAGAAACTGCTTCGCGAGGCCAGTGCCGACAGAATGCGATGGATCAAAGAAGCCGCTGAAAATGTCGGCCACATGCAAGACAATTTACAGGATATGTTCAAGTAAGAAGTTTTCTTGTTTGCCAATGTGTTTGTTGAAGAAACAGAATTAGAGAATATTCAATTAGGAATACACTTTGTCATTTTTCAAACGTATGCTGTCATCTTGTTGTGTTTGTTTCTTTTGTTGTTGTTTTTTTCCGATGAAAATATTAAAAAGGAACAAATTCCCAGATTGTTATTAAATGAAATGACTAAATGATTGTAATGGCTTATGGTTGGACGATGTTAAACCTCAACAGCTAACATGGCATCACAAAATATTTAGGATAACAGCTTTATTATGAAATAAAGTGGCAATAGAGTCTTTTACTCATGTTGACAATAAATTGAGTTCTTATATTCTGGAGATGCCACCATTGCTTGTAGTGTGTTTGGATGTGTTGTTACACCCGGGAGAAGACCTCAGTAACGTAGGTGGTGTGTACTGAAGTAGAAGGATAGGCTTCAGATGTTGAAGATGAAGTTGAAGTTGTTAATTGAAGTGGTTAATGTTACAAAAAAAGCATACGTTTGTTGTTGTGCTTTGTGACCTGTCTAAGTTACTTCTGTGATGTCACTTGGCTTATTTCATTTCTTTGCTTTTCTTTTAAAAAAATATTTTAGACAAGCAAAATCCATTCTCATTGGCTACCAGACAAGGCTTCAGACACAAGGCTTTACGGAGTTCACCGAGGAAGTTCCCGAGTTTAGCCGAACATTGACGTCACTGTCGGACGCTTACAAGGCGTGTGAGGTTGTGACAGGGGGTATCAATGAGCAACTACAGGATATCAACGTGATCACGAGCCAAATCTGTGACCTCATCACCACGAACTCCAAATCCGTCGAGCTCAATGCGTGGACTGATGAAACTGAGCCTGGCCCCGGTGGTAAGTAAGACGCGACTTAAGCTACTGAGCCTGGCACCGGTGGTAAGTAAGACGCGGCTTAAGCTATTGAACCTGGCCCCGGTGGTAAGTAAGACGTGACTTAAGCTACTGAGCCTAGCCCCGGTGGTAAGTAAGACGCGGCTTAAGCTAATGAGCCTGGCACCGGTGGTAAGTAAGACACGGCTTGAGCCACTGAGCCTAGCCACAGTGTTAAGTAAGACGCGGCTTAAGCTACTGAACCTGGCCCCGGTGGTAAGTAAGACACGGCTGAAGCTTACCGACACCTGGTTGACACGAATTTAAATAATGGAAGATGTGATCGTGAGGTTTATGCTTTGAAATAACGGACATGACGTTGAACATAGAATTGTAAAAATGTGTTTAGTATAACGCTTCTTAGTGTCAAAAATAGACATAAATTTAAGCCAATTACCCAATATTTACTCCACCTAAGAAGTGTTTTAGGATTCTGTAAGGCTCTCCCTGGTTGACAGATAAATCAATGGGGAGTGTATGACCAAACGACATACCCAACACCACGTACCAAACATTTCAATTTAAGACGGCTATGAGATTGCTACCAAAGAGATACTCCAAAATACTTGCTGTGAACCCACACGAGACAAAGCCATGTAGACATTAGACCCAGCGATTGTTAGACCTTGGCCCAATACATTCAACGATCACTAACACTTCTACCATTTAGAATAAAAATGCTCATCAGATAGAGCTAATACTCAACATAAATAAAGTACCGTTTTCATAGGAACACATTATTCTAACAAGATCATTTACAACAGAAAAACAACTTAAAGAATTTTCAAACTTCCTTCAGAAAATTCGACAGCATCACTTTATCATGTTTAGGTGCTTCTATTACATAAGAATATAAATTTTTGATCCTTCTATTACAGAAGAAGAGAAATGTTAGGTGCTTCTATTACATAAGAAGAGAAATGTTTGATGCTTCTATTACAGTAGAAGAGAAAGAAGCAAGGAAGAAACTCAGCGAGGCAAGGTTGCTAGAAATCAAAGCCATCTCGGCTCGTGCCTCTGCTGACGCTGTAACTGCCCACGAGAACGCTACCCACGCGCAGCTGGAAGCCAGTCTGGCCGAGGAAGCCGCTATCGTGGCGAGGAATGCAGCAGAAGCTGCTGTCAAGAGGGCAGAGAAAGTTCGGCGTGCTGAGATAGAAAAAAGACATGCAGAGGTTGGTGCTGCATACTACTCAGACTCATTCAATATAATTCAACAATAACTTAAACATTCTTGAAAATGCGATTCAATCCAAGTAAATTTGATTCAAGTTATTTTTTAATTGCAAATAACGTTTGACTCACCGGCAAATTACATTTATTTAGGTCATAGCAAATGTTTTAAACTTTTAAAAAGAGTATAGTTCCAATTGTATTTTTTAGGAGGCAGCAAAACGAAAGCACCAAGAAGAACAAAGCCAGCTTGAAGAGGAAGAGAGGAGAAGAAATGAAGAAGAAGAAGAGAGGAGATTGGAGGAGAGCACAATGATGGAAGACATCACGGCGGGAGTTACCCAAGAGCGGAAGGCAGACAAAGATAATCCGGAAAACTGGCCAAGATTTATGTATGTTTATCATCTATTGATTTTTTTTTTAATGACATTAAAACTAATTTTGAAAACATAATAAAGATGACTTCTGTATGATCAACTTTATCATTTTGAACTTTGACTTTTATCAGGGTTTTTTTTTTTCTATTATAATTAACGAAGTGGCTATTCGGACCCGGGTCCGCAAAGTGAGAGGTTGGGATTAAAATTTAAAATAAAAAATTATTGTTAGGTTGTAAGACAAAATTTGGTATCAAATGAAAGATTATTGAATGGACTGTATTTTTGTAAACTTACTTCTTCATTTCAACTAAAATAAGCTACCACAAATGACATCCGAACAGCCTGAGACTAATGGGACCCGGGTCCGAATAGCGGCGATGCGTTTCCGGTTCCATTTTAACTAAATTCTATTCGAATGTCATTTGTGGTAGCTCAAATCATATTTCCTTTATCTCTCTTTGAAAAACAGGAAAAAATATATTTATGGGGGATTGAGTTGGGCGTTGGGGCTGGACATTAGAAAGAATGTTTTTGCCAGGTTTCAGCTCGTTAGGATGACGGGACGTGGGTCAATGAGCCGCCCGAAAGTTAGCCCTAAACACACGAACAAAAGCGAAGTTAATTTTAAAGCATTAAAAAAAACAGCAGCCATCTCTTTTCTTTTGTCGTTGTGCATGTGTTATTGATTTAGAACCTTCGTATGGTTTTCCCAAATTAACTCATTAAATAAACACTCGTTAAACTTTCAGTTGGGATAAACAATCAGTAATTTACTGAGCTGTTTCTGTATTTGTGTCCGGCAGCTACAGCATAGACCGAACTGATGTTGAGACCGGAATTGGTGTCATACTTAAAGCCCCCGACGGGACCCTTGAAAGGGATGACATCTCTGTGACTCTTGTTGATCAGTTGTCTGCTGTTCTTCCAATGGGCGAGGCTGAAGAACTCATCAGCAACATTGTGTGCCTGGCACCAGCTGACCACAACAGATCCATCAAAGTAAGGTGGAAAAAGAAAATATGACAAATTGGCTAGTTCAGTAACAAATTTATGTCTGTTAACATAGGCTAGTTCAGTTAGAAAAGTATTTCTGGTCAGATTGGCTGATTCAGTTAGAAAAGTATTTCTGGTTAGATAGGCTAGTTCAGTTAGAAATGTATTTCTGGTCAGATAGGCTAGTTCAGTTAGAAATGTATTATGGTGAGATGGGCTGGTTCAGTTAGGAAAATTATTTCTGGCGAGATAGGCTAGATCAGATAGAAAAGTATTTCTGGCGAGATATGCTAGTTCAGTTAGAACAGTATGTCTGGTGAGGTGGGCTAGGTCAGTTAGAAAAGTATTTTTGTTGAGATAGGATCATCTAGAAGAGAGCACTAGATCAAAACTAAGAAATAAATTGTGACCACCAACGTTTAAAAAACAATATTGTGATGGTTTAAGGTTGAATCATTAGTTTATAATCTATATGTTTGAAAAACGAATAGAAAATACATTTTAATTTCAACCTTTTATTAAAAACATCAGAAAATTGTTGTAACTTATTGTAAATGCCATCATTACATTAGTATCAATCAAATATTTATCTATTGTCTGCACTGTCTCTCTGTCTAGCTACCTGTGCCACTGGTGATAGCCATACCCCATTGTGCGCCTAGGATTCACCCTGGACGTGAACCAGTGGTCAAGCTGTTAACGTCAGAAGGACGCCTCATGACGCTGCCAGCATCAGAAGTCGTATTTGAGGATATCAAGGTGATCCTACGTCCAAGCATGTCATTTACCATTAGAGACCGACCGAAAGTGATTTTCTGATTTCGGCCGAAAATAGGCGGAAAGTTTAAAATGACTTTCGGCCGCAACCAAAAATTGGCTGAAAGTTATAATTGACTTTCGGCCGAAACCGAAGCCGAAACCGAAAAAGAAATATTTAGATATTTTGAAATTCGTTCCCGCATACATTCTGCATATATCGAAAATGATGGGAGAAAGTATACATATTTACATTCTTTTTATAAAAAATGAGATAATCGGGAATATTAATAAATAAACATCTAATATAACATCTTGCTGTTAAAAATCGTTGAGCTTGTTCTTAAAGATCGCTCAGTTTTTTGTTAATGATCGCTTTATTTGTTCTTAAAGATCGGTTAGTTTGTTCATAAAGATCGCTTAGTTTGTGTTTAAAGATCTTTTAGTTTGTTATTAAAGATCATTTAGTTTGTTCAAAAAAGATCGTTTAGTTTTTTTCATCAAGATAGCTTAGCTTGTTCTTAAACATCATTGATTGTGTTCTTAATTATCGCTTAGTTATTCTTAAAGATCATTCAGTTTGTTCTTAAAGATCATTTAGTATGTTTTTATAGATCTTTTACTTTGTTATTAAAAACCGTTTAGTTTGTTCTTAAAGATCGCTTATTTTGTTGTTGAAGATCGCTTAGTTTTTTCATAAAGATCGCTTACTTTAATCTTTTAGATAACTCATTTTTTTCCTTAAGATCGATTAGTTTGTTCTTAAAGATCTTTTAGTTTGTTCCTAAAGAACATTTAGTTTTCTGTTAAAGATCGCTTAGTGTATTCTTATAACTCATTTATTTTACTATTAAAGAGCATTTGTTTTGTTCTTAAAGATTATTTAGTTCGTTCTTATAGATCGCTTAATTTGTTTTAAAGAAGGATATAGCTTGTTCTTAAAAGTCACTCAGTTTGTTGTTAAATATCGTTTAGTTTGTTCTCAAAGATCGCTTAATTTGTTGTTAAAAATCACTTTATTTGTTTTTAAAAATCGTTTAGTTTGTTCTTAAAGAACGCCTAATTTGTTCTTAAAGATCGTTTAGTTTGCTCTAAAATGTTGCTTAGTTTGTTGTTACATATCGCTTTCGCTGAGTATTAGATGACCGAGAACCTCAGTCACTTTCAGCCGGATGGCCGAAAGTCTAAGTCAAATTCGGCCGAAATCTAAAAAAACACCGAAAGTTAACTTTTCTCTTTCGGCTGAAACCGAAATTAAGCCGAAAGTTAACTTTCAGTTTCGACCAAAACCGAAACTTCGCCGAAAGTGATAAAATGGCCACTTTCGGCGCCGAAACCGAAGCCGAAATTTGGTCTGTCTCTACTTACCATTGTATTTAGAATTTACGGAAACTTTCGGACTGGGATTTGACTTATCTTACACTTATAAATATTCAATCCATTATTTAGTTTAAATATCCTATCACCAGTCCGTTCAGACTGGTTGCAATTGTGTGAGTCTCAATTTGCACACTTAGATTAGCGCCATGCACTTACATGTACACGGCTTCTAATGCTTACACAAAGAAGTATATCTGACCAGCTGAAAACATTATATTCTTCTAAAGAAAATATTTATCCAGTCAGTTATTATTGAAACAAATTCTTCACGCATTTTTGTAAAATTTATATATCTTAAATTTTAATGATTTTGAGTATTTTTTTAAATCCTTGAAAATAACTTCTCTTTTGTTCGTTGCTGGCAAAATCTTGTGACGGCTAGTTGACCCCTTTCCCGTCAACCCATCGAGCTAAAACTTGGCACATGGACTTGTAGCTGATGACACAACATTCTCTCAAATGTTCAGCCCCAACCACATCCCCCGGAAGAAATCAGTTTTACTTGTTTTTCAACGAAGAAGATGAAGAAAATATCAGGCCGCGGATTTTATGAATCAAAATTCCTGGGAGCTGGTCTTAATGAGACTTTCATTTAAATATCGCAAGTGCGTTTTTTTTTCTTCTGAAATGAAGAAATAAACCTGCTCTGTGAAAGCGGGAGAGTCTGGTATAATTCAGGGGCGTCTCTGTAAAGGCGGGAGAGTCTGGTATAATTCAGGGGCGTGAAATTAATGTGCGGTTGCGAGCATTGGGGAGAGGGGAGCATTATTTGGTTCTGGTTCTGGTTATGTTTCTTTGCTGCAGCCATGTACTGACATCTTTGCAACGGTTGGGGGAATAGTGTTGCTATTCTAACAGCTCCTAGCAGATGCCGGGGCAGCCTTGAAGCTTTCGACTGATATCGAGTTCACAGTGGGATCGTTCAGGTGGTTCCATTTGGGATTCTTATACATTTCCAGCCCAACCCCCTCCCCCATTGCTCTATATTACATTTATTTTGTAAAGGATTTAAATGAAAAACTTTGTTTTTTTACGGATTGTTTGATTATCATACTGATCACAACATGAATGATACTTCCATTCTTAATTATTATTTAAACATATAATATGTTCTGTGAAATACAAATCTACGAATAAGTTATCAATCTTCTCTAATAAGATAAGCAAAAAGTTTGCTTTAAGTTTACCCTTATTGCTGAGCACATTGCTTCACGTGTTTTCTCAATGTACGCAGGAAACTCGGTTTGTTGAGGTACGGACTAAAGGTTTGGGAACCATTGCTGTGTTTCTACGTCTGAAAAAAGAAATTCTGACCTTGAACCGGAAAGGTGGTAAAGTCATGTCGTCTGCTGACTCACGAGTTACTTTAGCGTGCCAGGCAGGGGCATTCAAGAATAACACCAGTTTCACCTTGGAGGTGAGTTATCGAACTTGTAAGCTTAAGTTTCATTTTTTTTTTTTTTGGACATATGGCAAAGAAAGTTTGTCAGAAGTTGGAACAACGTGTTGAATGAATTCCATTTGGCTGAGATATGACGTTCCGTATCCAGAAAATGGTTCGAAAGAAATTTCCTTGGCGGAAAATTAATCAACGGAAATTTTCTCGACTGGAATTTTTTTTTCCAGTGCAAACGTAAAAATTGTGCTTAAAATTTATTTTTTATCGCATGATTTTGTTTTACTATCTCAGTATAGTAACCATGATGTTCGTCACTCAAAAGCTATCCGTTGCAAATCTAAAATAGTTAGATCTAGTTTATTACGCAAGCATTTGTTTGAATAGTTATGACTAGGAACAGTTGCAATACTGTGGTCAATGTTAAACTATCTCTTACAAATTCACAACAAGCCCTCCCCCAACTCCACACGTTTTATATTAATAGTACCAAGTAAAATTTTTTAAAAATCACTCAGCGAGACTTCATGCATGACGTCTGAACTCGGTTCAGGTTGATTTTTTTTTAGTGGGTTATAATCAATAAAGATCCAAGGGTATAGTTTTTGGACTGTCTGTTGGACTGTCTGTAGGACTGTCTGTTGGACTGTCTGTTGGACTGTCTGTTGGACTGTCTGTTGGACTGTCTGTTGGACTGTCTGTTGGACTGTCTGTTGGAATGTCTGTTGGAATGTCTGTAGGAATATTATTTAAAGACAGGATGTAGGGCTGTCTGTGGGCCTTTTGTTTAAAAGATGGCATATTTTATAGAAAGGTTAGAAGACAACATTTTTGTAACAATTGAACCCACCTAGTATTGTTTCAAAATACCCAGACGCACTGTGCAAAAACTGCAACCGGTTGCGTCCCAGTTAAAACTGCAACCGGTTGCGCCCCAGTTAAAACTGCAACCGGTTGAGCCCCAGTTAAAACTGCAACCGGTTGCGCCCCAGTTAAAACTGCAACCGGTTGCGCCCCAGTTACGTAATAAAATATGTGGTTAAAGGGAACTATACTAAACTGCATTTGTTATTAACCACGTGATCCATCATCATTTTTTTACCAGGTCCAACAGGTTGACCCCAACTTGGTAGCTGCCCTCAAGGTCAAAATGCCAACAGAATGTGGCAAGCTTTTAACAGTCAGTCCAATAATCACGTAGGTGGCTTTCATCTTTACATGTCGGAAATGACATGGATATAGTCACCTGAGTGTGGTCACGTGGGGGTGATCACATGGGATGTTGCAACATATTATAACAAATAAATATCTTGAATAAACCCCTGCTTAATTTTTTTTTAGCTTTCAAAGCCCGGCATAAGAAATAATTTCTATGTGTGTTATTGATTGATTCTTTAAGAAGACCCCCCATCCCCCACAAACAATATTTATTTAAATAAAGTGTGGCTTAGAGATGGTTGTAGGATATTATACAATATTCAATGTCGTGTAGAGATGGGCGTAGGCTGTTATACAACACTAAATGTACCCGCCAAACATGGCGACGGCAATGCGTGAACTTCCCATCTACTAAAGTTACTTGACAAAAACGTGAACTCAAGTTACGTGCATTTAAGAATCCCAATATTTGCTACACCCCCCTTCCCCCCCCCCCCAACCATTTTTTTTTCATGATCCGTCACTTTACACTTTTTATTTCACGCCCTTGAACTCACAATACTTAAATTAAGACTTCCCATCTACTAAAGTTACTTGACAAAAACGTGAACTCAAGTTACGTGCATTTAAGAATCCCAATATTTGCTACCCCCCCCTTCCCCCCCCCCCCAACCATTTTTTTTTCATGATCCGTCACTTTACACTTTTTATTTCACGCCCTTGAACTCACAATACTTAAATTAAGACGATTTCATTTCCGGAAAGAAAATGTTACACATCACACGCAGTTGCGTTATTAAAAATAGATATATATCATTTAGCGTAGTTATCATGAATTATATTTTGCGCGCCAGTGAACTCAATATTGAACCACACTCTGGCGTATCTGTATATAGCCTGCGTGGTGGTGGTGTTTGACCCTTGCTAGCGATTTTTATATATAGATTAAATAATAAATGTTGTGATGTTGTGTAGAGATGAGCGTGGGCTATTACACAATATGAAATGTCGTATTGAGATGAGCGTAGGCTATTATACAACATTAAATGTCTTATTGAGATGAGCGTAGGCTGTTACACAATACTAAATGTCGTATTCAGATGAGTGTAGGCTTTATAAAATATTAAATGTCGTATTGAGATGAGCGTAGGCTATTATACAATATTAAATGTCGTATTCAGATGAGCGTAGGCTATAATACAATATTAAATTTCGTGTTGAAATGGGCGTTGGCTGCTATACAATCTTAAATGTCGTGTAGAGATGGGCGTTGGCTGCTATACAATATTAAATGTCGTGTAGAGATGGGCCTAGGCTATTATACAATATTAAATGTCGTGTAGAGATGGGCCTAGGCTATTATACAATATTAAATGTCGTGTAGAGATGGGCCTAGGCTATTATACAATATTAAATGTCGTGTAGAGATGGGCCTAGGCTATTATACAATATTAAATGTCGTGTAGAGATGGGCCTAGGCTATTATACAATATTAAATGTCGTGTAGAGATGGGCCTAGGCTATTATACAATATTAAATGTCGTGTAGAGATGGGCCTAGGCTATTATACAATATTAAATGTCGTGTAGAGATGGGCGTTGGCTGCTATACAATATTAAATGTCGTGTAGAGATGGGCCTAGGCTATTATACAAAATTAAATGTCGTGTAGAGATGGGCCTAGGCTATTATACAATATTAAATGTCGTGTAGAGATGGGCCTAGGCTATTATACAATATTAAATGTCGTGTAGAGATGGGCCTAGGCTATTATACAATATTAAATGTCGTGTAGAGATGGGCCTAGGCTATTATACAATATTAAATGTCGTGTAGAGATGGGCCTAGGCTATTATAAAACTTTATAAATGTCATATAGAGATGAGAGCTGGCTATATAACAATATTAATATTTTTTCCAGAATGAATTTGCTAGTTCCCTTTTCCTCCCCACTCACCATCACACTTCCGGTTCCATCGAACCCAGCTTCGCGACCCCGACGGCCGCAAACAGCAGTGAACAGGGGGCCAAGTGACCAACAGGAGGGGATACCTGTCAGAACTGCCAGTGCCAAGACCACGTTCACGATTAGAGAAGGTAAGCATGTTCAGAGTACACCATTAAAGATGGCACAGATTTCACGAAATCAAATTACTGATAACTGCGCTATATGAGATTCTTTAAATAAAAATATGTCAAGTGACTAAGCTTACAATGTCTAATTTGATCAACCAATACTAACTATTAAAGCAGGGAGCATAAATTACTTTGAAAAATAACAATGTTAAAAAATTAATTTTCGATTCTCAAATCAGGTTGACAAGGGTCCATGTCGCATTGGCGTTGACATAATTAAATATGTCCAACCCCCCCCCCCCCCAAAAAAAAAAAATAGGGAGCAATCTGAAAAAAGGGATGCAAATTAAACAAAACAAAAAATCAACGAATGTTTCGGCCTTCGTCAGCGAACAGTAAAAACAAGGATAACTATTTTGTCAACATGTTCGTTATTTATTAATTTTTTCAGGGTCCCCGCTGCCAATTTTACATATTGCCGCCTGACTAACCTGATAGCAGTGTACCCCGCTCCCACTTATAGTCGCTAACATAAGCCGACACACACTCTCTCCCTCCCTCTCTCTCTCTCTCTCTCGGTACTTGCACAACAGGAGTGAAAAATCTTCAATTGTTATACATATCATTGACAGAGCCAGCATCACATGATGAGATCCACTTGTTACACAAGGAAGCGGGAGGCCCTTGGACTAAGCTAGAAGATGTTAACCTCTTTCAGCTGAAGAAAAAAGACGTTGTTACCTTTGATATACCCCAGAGCTTCTCGAAGTAGGTCAATTACCTTAATACAACCCAAACCTTATCTAAGTAGGTCTTCACACCTTTGATATCCCTCAGAGCTTCTCAAAATAGTCTTTCACCTTTGATATCACCTATAGCTTCTTTAAGTAGCTCTTGCTACCTTTGATATCCCCCATATCTTCTCTGAGTGGGTCTTGCTACCTTTGATTCAGCCCAAAGCTTCTCTAAGTGGGCCAAATTCCTTTGATACAGCCCATAGCTTCTCTAAGTAGGTCTAAGTACATTTGATACAGCCCATAGCTTCTCTAAGTAGGTCTAAGTACCTTTGATACAGCCCATAGCTTCTCTAAGTAGGTCTAAGTACCTTTGATGCAGCCCATAGCTTCTCTAAGTAGGCCAAACTATCTTTAGGTTATGATTTAATTTTAAACATGATGAATAATTTAACCCAAAAAAAACGCACACAAAAACCATAAGTTTGGTATTATCTTCATCTTTAGAATTAGGAGCTGAACCTGACTTGTCAGGCGTTATTTTAACATTGGATTAAAATTCTGAGATTGAAATAGGAAACAATCTTAAATATGCTCTAGGGCCACTTCCAACTTTTGGCGTATGCTGAATGCATATACACGTAAACTGTTTAATATCCAAAAATATTTTATAAAATCATTTGAAGTGATGAGATTGTTTTAAGGATCGTTGTGTGGGTTTCCTTTTAATATATATGTATTGAATTTTTTTTTTTAAAATCGTTTACCAGGTTGGTCATAATCAGGACGACAATTGAGGTGACCTCTTTGCAAGCTGAAAAAATAGTCCGCCATCTTGTGAAAGCCATGACCTTGAAACCCATATGTGTTATCATGCGACAGATGAGTGCCGAACCATCTAATGCCATGGTCACCTGCGCCCTTCCCGTGAATGTCGAAAGGTTCGGTTACGTTGATACTGTTGAAACTGTCGTAGATACGTTAATGACATATCAGTCTTTAGATTAATCCAAATGTTAATGACAGCTAGACTTAATCGGTTCTGTTGATTGTTCACAGTTTATGAAGACATGTGTTTTAATAAAAGACAATATTTTTTTATATGAATTATATGTTTTGTTTTCTAAATAAATTACTTGACGCTCTAAGTAATAGTATTGTTGACACTGTGTCACAATTAAGGGACTTTCCGAAATGTTAACAATGATATCAGACTTAACAAGATCAAAGTACATTGAAATTCAATCTTAAATAACGAGATCATTATTTTTTTGTGTGATCGACACTTTACTCCGGTTTAGCACAATTCATTACACGTGACAGCATGTCATAGGCTACATCTTACATTTCCTTTGTATCCTACTTTGATGCTAACTTAATCATCATCTATTGCAATTCATATGTCTGTCTTTCTATCTATTTCTCTCTCACACTATGTCTGTGTATCTTTATGTCTGTCTGTCTTTCTTTCTCTGTATCTGTCTGTTTCTCTCACTCTCCCTATCTGTTTATGTCTTCCTCCCTCTCTCTCAGTTGGTCTGCTTGTCTCCCTCCCCCTCTCTCTCTGTCTCTCTCTGTCTCTCTCTCTCTCTCTCTCTCTGTTTCTGCCTTTCTCCCTAGATCTGTCAGTCTCCCATTCTCTCTGTTTTAAGTGTGTATTTCTAAACTGCCAGTTTTATGAAGACAGAATCCCAGTAATCCTTTAACTTAAACTTTGACCTTTCTTTATCTCACAGAACCACCCGCATAATGGCAGACAACGGCTACGACCACGGACCTCGGCCAACCACTGACGTCATGTGCTCAGAAGGTCAGAGGCTAGAGCTTCGTTTCCGTGGCAACCTGACTCTCATAGACCAGGAAGTACGGACAGTGTGCGCGTTCAACACCTACATCCCTTTCAAGTAACCATTCAAGTCTCGTGTTATTGCATTCCTTACTTTAATGGCTTTTTGTCCTGACTTAAAGATAAAATCTCAATTGTGATGACACTTCTAGCCCGAGTATATATTTCGAAATTCTAATTACTAATTAAACTTGAGCAGTTTAAACATCTCACTTAAACTAAGTCATTATATAACACGTTTGAACGGGAATTTTAAAGTATAAATTAACCTTTGCCCTTTCATAAAGCGAAGATTTTTAAAAACTGTAGGATAATCTAAAAACTAATAAATTTGAACCTTTCTGAGACCATTGATGCCTTCCACCAATTATTTCTTTTGTAAGACAAGAACTCTGTCTAATGTCATGAACTTTCTTTGATCTAAAAACCCGAATACTTTATTAAGATTATGCATCTCCAAAAAACCCCATGTTAAACGCGTGCATGGAATTCTAAAACGACGGTCAACGGCAATTTTAACGAAGCAGAGAAAAAGGACCCGTAACACTAAGTCACATGACGTGTTGGTCTGATCTATCAAGTCATCAGATGCTAAGAAGGTGCTCTATCATTAGAACTAAATAAACTAGCGCTTCGTCGAAACGAGAAATTCGGTCATAAATCTACAATAGCGTGCAAGCTTATCCTTCTATTCTTGCTGTCGTCTCCTTTCAGGCTCAAGTTCCGAGTTTCAGAACTGGACAAATTTGCCCAGAGAGGTTTCGGCAGTTACCGAGGGTTCTCACAGATATACACGAGGGGCAAAATTAAGAAGGTTCTCGACCCATCCGAGGAAAGGGACAGGGCTACGGGTCAGCGGGTCAAGGACGAGCTCATTGATGGCGACGTGTTGCTCTGCGAGCATCTCATTATCTTACCCAAGGTCAGAAGACGTCTGGTTTGTATTGGACGTCACAGTAGTGTCATGAGTATAATAGGATTATAGGATTAAGGATTAAACAAGTCAACGGACCAAATTTAAAAATGTTTGAATTGGTTTCTATTGGATAGAAAATGTATTGACATGACCAAATGTAGGTCATAAGAAAGCGGAAAAGTAATTTTTAAAAGTCCATAATCGGATTAGGATTATCTTTGTCTTAAATGATTTATGACTCCGTTTTCAAACAAATCATGCTATAAAAAATAATCATTACCAATTATATTCCTTGAATCACTTATATATTGTATTGAATTCATACTGTGCAATGATGGTTTCCTACCCATAGCCTGACCCAGAAACTCCACGTCCATTGAATGTTGCACCAGTCGTCTTCTCGGCAGGAGGTAGGAAATCTTCGAATTATTTTAACACGTAGTAGCGCCCCTTGTCCTGATAACCTTTTTTTATCGTTATCATCTTTTTTATTTCAATCAACAAATTTCAATACTTTCAAAATATTAACAGTTGATCTTAAATTTGACTGTTTTGGCACACATAATTTTATTTTAAGCTCTAAGGCGACTCTAAGCCATGTGATGTCCTTTTGTTTTATAGACGTCTAGCGAGTTCTTCCTTTTAACAGGCCCTAAGATATCATTACATAACTGTGACCGTCACCTTTATTTATATTAATACGACCATTATTAAATTTCTTGTTTGTTTTCAATTTTTAAATCTCATTTCAACCTTTTGGCCGCGCCTTCTTAAATGTGTGCAACTGAACGGCTGTCTGAAAGGATATTTGAATGAGAATCATCTCATCGGCTTTCTGAACGGCTGTTAGAACGGATATTTGAATGAGAATCATCCCATAGGCTTTCTGAACAGCTGATAGAATGGATATTTGAATAAGAATCATCTCATCTTTAACTCATCGTTTGCCATTCAAACCTAAACTTGTTTTTGAAGAATCTTTGTAGCACAGTTTTTAATCATCTGTTGGAAATGTTATGCAAATTTTGTAACTTTTTTTTTTTTTTGTGGTATTGGAAACATCCCTTTGGGGACCTAAGGCTACTATCCGTTCCGCTTGATTGGCTTAACACGTTTCCTCTACGTCACATGTTTTCAATTTGTTTTTACAAATCACACTTTGTTTATATGTTAACGTATTGTCACGTCTTGTCATGTATTCACGTGCCACTCTTATAAAAGTTATAAAAGTCATTCTCTCCTAGGTATTGTCAATGGAGATTTGTTCAAGTTCTTGTCCACCCACCTGGAGTACAGTGACTGGAGGCAGCTCGCCCAGCTGCTGAACGTTAAACATTGTCGAATACAGGCGATCCTGCGCCAGAACGTCAACAACGACATCAGCCAATCGATTTACGACATGCTGGTCACGTGGTCAAAACGATTGCCGCGCTCTATGGACAGGGTCAGATGTACCTTCTTTCTTCTCCGGCTTGTTTCTCTTTGCCACTGAATCTCTCCTTCTCACACTTCACCCCACCCCCTCCCCCCACCCCTTTCATCTCATTCCCCCACAAGTATGCAACTTTAAACATAATAATCACAGTAATCCATTTTTAATGTATCTTTTAAGCAAGTGACTTTGGCTTTGACTTGGAATGCTTGTAATTAATTTTGTAGTGTTGCGTTTGTTTTAAATGTGGTAAATTATTGGGTTTTTTTGTTGTTTTTTTTTTTTTACTTTGTACCACGCTTCGAGCCTTTGGGGATGAAGCATGTTTTTTAAATAAACTTTATTATTATTAAGTATGCATGTTTTGTTGTGCATCAATCCATTACTTTCCAATCTACCATTTCAGATCGATATGTTAAGCCACGCCCTGACTTGTATCAGACGTACTGATTTGGCTGAGGAGCTTTTGGCCCGGCAGGAGGAATTTAAAAATGCGAACGCTCTTCATTTCAAAGGTGCATTAACTTAAAATGCCCTAAAACATTCTAATGAAAACAATACTAGCTGTCGTTAAATGTAGAGTTGCTTTATTATTTTTCAATGCATTTCTTATCTACAATCTGTTGTTTGATAATTATAAAGTATAAAAAATCTCCATGTATTAAGTTATTTAACTCTAGAGCCCAAATAGGGCACAGCCAAGGACCCTTCTAGGTTTCATCATCCATCCTGGCAAAGAGTTGATTCTTTCTTACATTAACTGGTCTACTCGGCATTCTGCTTCTAACCAAGTATTTCATTAAAACAATCCTTGAAAATGCATTGACTACACTATGATTTTCAGATTCGTATCTGCGGAAAGCCTTCGTCACCATAGCAAAACACCCCCGCGCAGTCTTACAATGGAAGCAGCTGGCAAGATTTCTTGGCGTGGCAGACAGTGACATTACTTACATAGAGACCTGCAAAGACACGACGCCAGAGCGTTGCCTGTCCAGCCTACACCTATGGAAGGACAGAAATGGCCACACGGCGACGGTTCCACTCCTGGCCAATAAGCTTCGCCAGTGCCGATACCGGAAGTTGGCCAGTAAGTCCCAGTACTCTCTCATTAATGTCATTTCTTATCATTGGAGATTCCATGTTCATCTTTTTTAATAACATTCGCCACGTACAATGAATCCGAGGCAGTGATTTTGACAATCCGGTTTGCCAATTAGTTTTATCATATTTTATAAAATGTATGTAAAAAATAAAGATTTTAAAGATTTTATAATAAACCAATCGTAAATGTATTTCCGTTATGATTTAATGAACAATAACATTTGTGCCTGGATTTTTTTTTTTATAGGGAACAGTGGTCGCCTATATTGTAAGCGTTTATTGTAACGCTTTATGAAAGCGTTTATTGTGTGATATATTTTAACAAGTTGACAGATCGCAGTCTCCCGTAATTTTGA